CCAAACCTGTCTCAGAGGTCCAGCTCAGTCCTGATTGGACAACAGAAACACTAGAACTACCTACTCTAATTGTTGTCTTTATTTTAGGTGAAATATTCTAAATGAAATCTACATTTAAGAGGGTATAACTGATGATTTTAGGAAGTGCTGGGACATCAGGGGTTTTGCAATGCTGCTTTGGTACAGAGTGTATCAAGCATCCTGCTAAAACCCACAATCATTTCCCAGATGCTTATAATACTCTGAGATAACTTGATTTACATAGTAATGCATGATACATGAAGTTGCTGTAGTTTCTTAGGGGGAGTGGTCATCAGCTAATAAGTAGGGTTGTTTGAGGTGGCACAAATTTCAACACTCTCTATTGGTCAAATCCCTTTTCCAGCACAACACTCTCAACTTTCGAAAATATTCCCCGTTTCTTGGCTGCTGGCCTGGGTGGATGGCTTTGAGCATCACGGGAGCAGTTCACTTTGGGTTAAGCCCTTTCAAGAAAAACTGTTCAAAGCCCTTTTTTGCATGCTCGGCCTCTCCAGTGGCCACCCCTGAACAGCCTGCCGTTATATTTTTGGATTTAGAGGAATGACGTTGCTACCTCTCAAACCCCAAGAAAATCTTTTCAGTCCTTTGTGTGGAAAAAACGCGCGGATCATAATCCACTTTGTAAACATACAAAGGTCACATCCTTGGTGAGCAGTAACCCAAAAAAAAGAAAAATACAAGAAAAAACAAGAAAAACAAAGTGGTTCTGTCCAGAGCAGCAGTCTTTAACGTTCCTGTTTATCTTATTTTGAATTAAATAAATACATCTGTATAATTCTAATCACAAGTCTTGAACATACTCTGTATTTTAAATTCTATAAAATCCATAAAGTTTTGCTGTTTGGTTTTTAGAATTTATGTAATTAAGAACACCCCATCTCTCACGTTTGACTAATTTCTGCATGTATTTCATGATAGAGCTGGTGGTAGGATGCAAAGAACCTCCTCATTACCACTTTGTCCACTTTTAACCGAACATCTGGGATTTTGGGAGAGACAACCTTGGTTGGTCACAGGTGCATCGGAGCATGAGAACACCATACGAGTCAAAGACATTCCAACACAAGAATGATGTGGATTCCAACATGGAAACATTCATACAAATAGTATATCCCTCTAACCTCATGTTAAACACCCAATATGGGTCATATTTAAGGGGACAAACAATACCCGATATGCTTGTTTCAGCTGGAGGACAAGTTGGGAGGAAGGAAGGAAGAGCAAAAGCACTAACCTGCCAAATTTCTTGCAACTTAATACTCATCCTGACATGGTTTTCCGTAATCCCTCCTCTATTCGACCTCACCCTCCAGCTCAAAAGCAGCAGTTTGAGAGAAGTGATATAACCGAGCTAAGATATTTAGATCTATCGCAATTTGTAATGCCTATCTGGGACAATCTGTAATATTTCTTTAAGAGAAAATCAATCAAATTTTCACAGGGAATAATAGTCTTTTATTCAAAGTCTTTGATAAAAGCAATCTCCAAGAAAAAAGAAAGAGTTGTTGATGCCTTAAAACAAAAAAAAAACAAGCAGGCTATTTTTTTCACTGCATAACTTCTTTGTGTTATTGTTCACTGTTGTAATGTGGGATAATGGAATTAGACAGTTGAGTTTCATTGTGCAAGAAGGGAAAGCAGGAGGCGAGGAGGAGGAGAGAGTAAAAGCGAATAGAGGGGTTTGTTGAGGACAATGGCTCAACTCAGCAGGGCTATCTGAGGTCTGTTTATTCTGTCTTTACCTCATACTCTCACTGCCCAGTGTCCATTCATTCATTTATACCTCAGTAACTCTGTGCGAAGGCCAGGCAATTCACATATTCAGAACATGTTAGGGGGGAAAAAATCCGATGAAATATGCATAGTTGATCTATGTTGATCTATGTACCCTCCAAGCCTTGAACTCGTGGTCGTTCAACACCACCAGTCAAAACTGGTCTTTTGAGAAGAGATCATTGACTTGCTGGTGTGGTGCTTTTTTATTGTTTCTTACTTACAATAGAGGTAAAACTCCCATTTTTCACTATGAAAAAAAAGTTATTGTGTTCCGTGGTTTGTGCTAGTTTCACGTTGCTTTCGTACACCCCAGTCCTTTCATTGAACATAAAAGTGGTCTGAGCTCACCTTTGTACGACAGTAGATAGTTAGATTAGCATCGGTGCTAATGCTTAGTGTTCCACATGATGTCATTTGAGATGCAGTAAACATCTTGTGGACCAACTAAATTGCCTTCATGCCTAAACTCTAAAGTGATATTGTCCACAGGCGTATTCAGATGGATTTTTACTGAACGCATAATTTGATATTGTTCAATAGTTCTGTTAAGCTAGCGTTCACTAAAGTATACCATTAACTAGTCTTGCCATTTATACTTTTGGATTGCTATTCCATTGCTTTTTATGTTTTTCTCTTACTGTTACAAAGTGTTGTGTTGGGGTACACCCCCAATAGGTTGCTAGTACCCCTATTCATGCTCATATAGCGATGGTTTTTCGTACAGTCTAAAGAGGTTTTTCTTTGACCTGTTGAAGGAAACCCGAGCACCATGAGTCAAACCAAATCAGACACAAGGTGAACACGTTAAATCCAATCAGAAAGACCCCCCCCCTCAGCCAAGGCGTGACTGTGCTACCGTTACTGACTAACCAAATGTGGAAGACCTGGAGTCTTTGGACCAAAGTGAGATGGTGATGAGACGATAGACTGCAACGATGGGAAGTTATGTGGGGGGCCGCATCGAGTCATCAATCTTCTGTCTGTTAGGTCGCCGCCTTTAGTGTGAATGCCATCTCTCATCAGTGATGTCAGAGCTGTCACTGTTCTACCCTCATTTGCAGCCTCTAACAAAGCTCTTGGTGCTAGTACACTCAGCGAAGGGTAGAACACAGTAACCGGATTGAATGCTTTGTCCCTGTTTGATAAGCTCTATGCCAGAAGTTGTCAGCTTTTGAAAAAAACTCGTCATCTGGATAAAGGCTCGCTCGTTTATTCAAGAAATATTGCGCTAGACGCTGTAATTCAATTTAAGAGAATCATGCGGACACATTCAGCTAATTGCATTTTTAGATTTTAATCTTTTTTTCAATTGATAGTCAAGATTGTTTCTTTTTTAGCACAACACAAACTCAGTACTCTGCACATGACAGCCCTCATGAATGACTCAGACTTTAAAAACTGCCACCCACATGCTTCAGAAGAAAATGACGCAGATGTTCCATTAAGCAACTTGTACTTCATCTTACTTGGAATCGAAATAACAGGCAGCTAGCTATTTACGTGAATCATCACTGAATTAGTTAGAGAGGTTACGTAACCACTGTTCTTTCTTGGGATTTTATGTCCAGTCCATCAGGTGATTTATTTATTAGTTCATTTATTTTTTTCTAAGTTTAGTTAGAGGCATTTCTAGTTGATTGAAATGGTGCTGACAGTTGTTATTTAACAAATAATACACAAATAATGTAAGAATCCTAATGATGTCTTTTGCAATACCCTCTCCCATTGACGAGTCTATACCGCCCCCTTGTGGTCTTTGTACACAATGAAAAGTTGTGCAACCGTTTAACACCTGCTTTACACGCTAATTGGAAAAAAATGACAAAACTTGGATGTATTTGTCCTAATCTTACTCTGTGATAAGCAAGGGGAATAGATAAAAACTGATGAAGTATTGGGGGGGGAGTAGAGGTAAAGAAAAACAGAATTGATATTGACTTTAGAGTGTTTCTGTTGGAAAGAGGAGCGAAGAGGAGCATCAGACTACCACATACTCTTGAGGGGTTAAAATCTTGAATGAATCAGAAATGGATGCAAAAACAGTTCTCAAATTATTCAAAAGCGGCTCCAGCCTTTGTAGAAGTGGGGGTCATCCTGTACATATGCGTGTACCATAAAAATCTAAGGCTACCTGTCTCCAGTTCTTCTGGTGCAAACCACTGCTTTTATGTGGATGAAATCAATTGAGCCTTTTGGGAGTTCATCAAGCTGCCCAAGTCACCTTAAATGCATCTTCTACAGATATTAGCTGGCCGTTTGTTAACACAGCTCAGTGTGAATCAGAGGAGGTACATTTACAGTAGTCACCACAGGCAATATGCTGCATGGCTGTGCTTTCAAAGGGAATAATGATCCCGTTCCCGTTTGGGAGAGTCTGTTCGGTAGTGCCAGTTAATTCAATTCAGCTAACAGATGAGGCATTTACACCGGTTATACTCGGTGCTTATGGGTGAGCTCTGCTGTCAGTTAACACGGCTTTACTCGGGGCAGAAAGGGCAGAGCAGAGAGTCTGTCCTCTTTTGGCCGAGGCATTGTTCCAGACAGATGGTGCTTAAACGAGCTAAGCTGTGTGCTTCTGTCTGTACAGATTAGATGCCATAGTAAAGACTACTGCAGGCCAGCAGTAAAAAGGCAAACAAACTTGAAATTGTAGTTCCTTTTTCATTCAGGCACTGCAGAATCATCCCAATAAAGTGATGTTCCTTAGAGAATGAATCACGCTTTGATGATCACTATAATAATCTCTTGTTGGTCATGGAAATAATCTAAAAGTAACTTAATCTTTTTTTTTCCAAACATATAGTTTATGCGTCTGACAATTTTAGCTTAAAGCTAAACATTTGCAGGGGATTAAAAGCAAAGGATTGAAAACATTTCTGTTGCCCAAAGTGATTGAAGCACATTTAACACAGAGTGCCTGCTTTTCTGTAAGCTCTGTTAGAAAATGTATGTCTTCAATTCAGACTATGAGAGTATGTTTTTTCCTTTTTGTCATGCAGGGACACTGGGCCTTATACTTATTTTTTACGTTAAAGCGTTGAGTTGTGAATACCACCTTATATAAAAAGAAAATAACACTTTCATCTACAAATGTATTAACATCTATTTGAAATCTGTTTGCTCACGTTATGAAAGTTACCAAGTCAGGTGTTTTGTGTTTGTCAAAGAGCTTCATTTTATTATTATTTTTCTTAAATAATTTTTTCAGTTCAAGGACAACAACAATGAATCTCATTAAACATAAAGACAATCGTTGTTGTGACAATGATTCATTTCTCATTATTAACTTGCTCAATAAAACTATGTATTAATATTTACAAAAGTAAGACAAATCAGCCTATTTGACAAGGATGCAAAGAGCCAAATAGTTTTTAGGCTGAAAGAAACGAGAATATCGGTTACAACGATTCATCTTCTTGTACTGTCATTTGGAATTTTGTCGTCTTGAAGCAATACTCTGGCCGGCATCACTTCTTTTCGTTTGGTGCCTGCCCGTTGATCAGGCCAGACTCCCAGCGCTGCCACAGAGGAGCCTTCTGACCTCCTGCTTTGTGAACTTTTGCATCCTGCTGTGAGATAAGACAGAGAAAAGACTGGGATTTAGAGTGGGGGATTAGCTTCTGCCTCCGAATCCTCCCAATTTGAGATCAGCTCCTTGTACTAATCCACCTGTGAAACAGTTAGTACTCGTGAGGACATTGAGGCTCATATATCTTTTCAAGTGATCTCAATTTTTAGTACATTAGCTATCTCAAACCAGTGCAACTCTGTGAACGTTATAGCATGACATTATATCCGGATAGTCTTCCTGGTGTATCACCTGTGACTGATCACATTTCTTTTGGTCTTTTTTGGAGGGTGGTGGCCAAACCCTTTCCAGTTTCCCCCGTGACTGTTGCCTGGAATCTAGAGGAAAAAAGAAAAGTAAGAGAGTATCACAAAGGGCTTTAACTCACACGTTATATATCAAACAACAGCAAGAAGAGTTTATTTGTCACCTCTAATGCAGCCAAATGTCTGAGCAGCTATTCCAACATTAGCGTTATTTTAATTAGAAGGCAACTGCCCATATTTTTTTGTATTATGTGCTCACAGGTTGTGTTCTTCAAGCCCAGTTTCAAAGCAGAACATCAGTTGTAAACAATTTGGGATCGGAGGTGACCCATAGAGCTTCTCTTCCTGGTTTAAGTCTAATAAGTCTAAAGCTACTTTCTCGACACTGCTTCATCTGCTATGTTTTTACACAAGCAATCCTAGCTTTTTTTTAACTCGTATTGCAATTTTGCTTTTCTTTTTAAAGATAAAATATATGATAATTTAAAGCTTGACCTTGAGTTTAAAAAGTTTATTACTTAAATGCAAACATTGTGGAAAAATTGCTTTGTGATGTGTGGTACAGATCTTTTTTATATAGCCAACACACAATCTGCTACTATCAGTTACTCAATACACTTGACGTTGATTACCCAACAACAATTAGCCTCTAAGTCTGAAAATACCAAGATTAAAAAACAACAAAAAGAAAAGTTACTGACTGACAAATTTCTATTTTTTACCAGAACACTATGAAACTGTAACTAAAGAGCTGTTGCTAGCTTAAGCAAAGCTGAAGTATAGGCCCCATTTAGCCTTTTGGCATCTGCTGACTCAGATCACAGTGCCTGCAAAATCAATGTGCCCTTAATTAGGGACAGGGATGACACTAAGTTGGTGATAAGACCGCTTGGATAACTCAGCATGATGCTAATGTGGCGAGGCATTCGTTTAAGTGCTGAGGTTGATTGTTACTAGGTTGGGATGTGGAGCAAAATCTGAATGTCTGGTTTACTCGAACTTTAAAATGTTTTGACATGACAAAAAAAATTTGCATTTTGCACAACTAAAGCCATTTCGAAACATCTCAAAATGGATGCTATTCTTAGTAAGTCCTCCTGGTACTATCGCAGTTTGAAACCATAGCTGTAAAACATCTTAGAGATTCTGCAGACTAACCTGACACGAGGGCCTTTGTACTCTGGGAGCTTTCTTCGTCTTCACTGCTCCGTCTATACTCCCCATAGAGAGTGGACCGCTGTCTGCGCAGTTCCTCTTCTCTTTCTTTGGCCTCCCGGATGTCCTTCGCGACTTCTGGCTGCAGAGCCAGTGCTGGACGCAGCTTAAAGAAGGGGTTGTGTTTGAGGACTGGGGATTCTGGCCTTCTACGCGCCTCCTGACTTTCCCCCCTCATCTCCGCGGCCGACTTGGAGACTTCATTCTGTATGGACTCCATGCTCCTGTGCAGCCGCAGGTGCTTGTCTTGTTTGGGGTACGGGGATAAGCGCGTTTTGTCTCGAGAAGCTGCGGTCGGGCTCCTTGATCGGAGGTTTTCGGGACTTTTGTCTCTGCCCAAGGTTCCCGAGTTGTCCAGCCTGAGAGATTGTGTTCTGCTAACCGGAGAGCTCTTATGAGAAAACCTCTCCAGGCTACGGGTGCGTTCCAGTACAGAGGGGTAAACCGGCGCTTTGATTAATGTTGCGGGGGCTTTCCGTAGCCTTGTTGGACCGTCCGTGTTGCCGTGCTGGAAAGCCTCAAACAGCAATTTCGTCTCCTTTAACTGACGTGTCTCTCCTTTGCTGTACCCCCCTGGGATCTTACCCTGATTGACCATTGCCAGTTCTCTCTGAGTGTCATGGCTTATGTCTTTCTGCATCTGCTTTTCAGAAAATTGCCAGTGGTTGGGCTGGCTGGTGCAAGCCTTGGTAAGAGCCGATTCAAGAGAGAGGTTAGTCTTGAAGGGGATCTCTAGCACGTCTGGATCATCAGCCAGGTTGAAAACACCTCCAGCTCTCTGCAAGTTCTGCTTCCCCGCGACTACCTCGTGGATGTGCCTTTCCATAGAAGAATCACCTACTGAAAATCTGTGCTCAGTGGACGTGAGTTGCCTTTCGGTGCTGGTCACCTCATTTGTCTCAAGGGACAAATCCGATGGCACCAAGCTGTTACTCTGATCATCCTCCGAATCACTCGTCTGCGTTGGGGACAAACTTGCCCCTGCTTTTGTGTGAAGTTGTTTGCTCACATCCTCATCATTCTGCATCAAGGTCGTCTTTACTTCATCATCCTCGTCAGTGAGAAATCTACGTTCTTCCTCCTCTTCTTCCCCAGCCATACTCATTCCTGTCACTCGCTCACCTTCAGTTTCCGCACTAGTCCCAAACTCCTCCCCACCTGTCACCCCTTTGACAGTGTCCTGGGGAGGAGTTTGGACCTCATCATGTCGCAGCTGTACTATTTGCAGACGCTGAAGCAGTTGCTCTCCTTGCTGGATAACAGTAGCTATCCTCGGGGTTCCGTCCACCTGCTCCACCATTTCCTCAGAACATCTGTCAATGGGCTGTTGATTGACTTGCATTTCTGCAGTGTCACTTTCTCTCCTGAGGTTGTAGTCCGAAGACCTGCTGTTTCCCTGCCCTTCACTGTCATTGGTCACGTTGGCTGGGAAAGCAGACACCAGTGGCTTATTGGCCACCTCCCCCATCACGTCTTGCTTGCATTTGTAGAGCTCTGCAGGCTCAGAGGATTCAAAATCATCGTCGTTGGCCCTGAGACCAGGCAGGCTCGGGGCATTTGTCTCAACACTTTCACTATCTAAGTTATCTCTCGGCATTTCAAAGTGTCTCTCATCCAGGCAGCAACTGTCCTTATCTTTCGATATGTCACTTTCTTTGTCTCGCCAGGTACCATTTTCCGAGGTTTCCTTATCATCCGGAGGTAATCGTGGAAATTTGTCTTCCTCTGTGCCAGTCTCCCCACAGTGTCTATCTTCCTTATTTAATACAACAATATCTTCAGGCTCTCCATTTGAGCCCTCGTGTTCTGATGTCCTATTCTGATACTGTTTTCCACGTTCACCATGGCATGCTTCCATCAGAGAATCCTGGATGTCTGTGGATGTTTGGCATTGATAAGCCGGTTCAGCAGAGCCCTTGTCATTGAGCAGTAAACGGCTGTCGACAGGCTGCCTTGAACACTGCTCTGTGCCTGATATCACTTCATCTGGTTCGTTTCGTGCTGCCATTAACTGCTTCTCACTATGATGCCAGTCTAAGCCGGCGGGATTAGCTTTAGCCTCTGTGGCGTCAGCTGCTCCATTTGAAGGGGTCACAACAGAATTACTGTCTGTTGCACCTGGGCTTCCCTTTGCCGCGAGAAGAGGAGCCAAGCACCTTTGAGGAGGAATGGTGGGGTGGACAAACACATCATCAGCACCTTCATCATCCATGACACTGTGGTACCTTCTGATAGGAGCTGCAGCGGAACAGTTGCTTTCAATTGGAGGACTCTCTGTGGTTTTTCCTGAGAAACTCTCTATGTGGCTGGTCACATGCTTGGATTCCATCTTTATCCAGAGACCACGCCTTTCCTTGAACACCTGATGTTGAAGGCTGAAGCACTTAAATGTGTTTCATCAGTATTGCAGCTTAATTTCCTTTAACCTTTAATTCAAGAAAATCAGAAAATTAATTAAATAATGTGTACCAAAACCGATCCATGCATGCCTTCAGTTGATAGGCTTCTAGTAACAAGAATCTCTGCTAACATCATTAAGATTAACTTTTCATTCCTTTTAATGCCTATTGTCAACTTTGAGTGTTTTGATTTTTCCTTAAGATCATTCTAAAATCGGCAATGAAAAGAAAAAGTTTCCACCGAGTTGTTTTGAAGAAAATAAACCAGGTTGCATAGTGTCTGTAATTGAGCACAAGTAGCATTGCTAGTGGGAAAACAAATGCTGTGGTGGACATCCAGTGGAGAAAAGGGCGAAAGGAATTACTGGAATTGAATTAAATATTTGCATAAATGAGATACTCTCAGTTTAAGATTGACTGGTTAAGGCATGAAACAGCTAATTTAAAGTTTTACCCTGTTCAGATTGGATCCCTCTCCTGTCTACTCACTCATCCTTGAGACAACAAAACCAACCTAATGAAGTGAGCATATTAACCTTTTTAAAATACTATTTTTATTACTGTTTTCTTGCTCGTACCTTCTCCACATACATTAAAAATTACATTGGAAATGGATCTATTATCCAACTTTTTAGTATAGTTTAGTATATTAAGAGTGAATATAATTCACTTGGCTTGGCTGTACAACCCCAGCCCCAAGCATTAAAATCAAGTGCCATGTCTGAGGTCATCAGAACATATGCAGAAATCCAGATATGTTACACATTGTTTTGGAAAGTAAAATCAATCTCGAGCTATATCATTTTCGTATGACTTTTTGTCTTATTATGGGGATGTTTTCCTCCCAACGTGTCCTGATGCAGTTCTGCTGATGAAGGGAAAGAATAATCGGCTTTCCTCGGCGTGTTTGGACACACCGTGTACACTTCCTTACAGTCTGGCTTGGGACTTTGGTCACATTGCAGGTTTGAATGTTATGAATTCTGTTTGTTTTCCTGTTTGGTAAAACTGAAGCAATTGTACTCATCGGTCTAACAGTCTATCCATGAGCCACAGCAACTGTGTGTAATCAGACATCTCCACTTTATCTGGTCATAAAATCTTTGCTTACTCTGCATCATTAAAGTGCTACGCTGCACCATTGATGGATTTTTTTAAAATTTATCCTTTTTGAATGAAAATATAGTCCGGGCATGTTGTGGTTCACTGAGCCTCAGGTTTAAATCTATCCGCAGGTCTATATTTACACCTGTATTCCGGGATTAATGCCAGCCACACTGCAGCTCAGGATTATTAACAGCAGCATGCAGTAAATAAAGCTCAAGCAACGGGACAAATGAATGCACCCAAATGAGCTTAAGCTATGTACTCCACATGTCCCATTTTAAGTAACATTTTCCAGTTTGGATGTAATATGATCAAAAATAATAACAGTTTCCTATTAATCTGAGTGTGTAAGATTAAACAATGCCATTATCAAGTTTGTGGGATCAGATTAACTTGCTCTAATCACAAAGATAGCATTGAACATGACCCATTTTAGATAGTGTGGTAGTTTTGAAGTAAGTGACCCACCTGAACGTGCTGGAGCCATCGTCCCTGCCCGATAGTCCCAACCTCAACGGGAATATGAATGATCCAGCTGATCCACTTAGCAGCTGTATCCCTCTGTCAACTCTGTCACGTGAGCCAACTAAATCCTCTTATTTGAGAAGCAACACCCGGTTCAAATGATGCACAATGAGTGCAAACCTGATAAAATGAGCCAATTAATTTAGTTACAATGTTTACGATAGTCCCATATCTTAAAACACTTGCGCAGTGAATGTGTGTGATTTGCGAGTTAAAGCCATTGATCTGGCTATGAGCCATGAATTTGTGTTAGAATTTATTTTAATCAATACATTTTAGACTCCATAATAGTTATAGCCAAGTTAAATAATAGTTCAACAAACTTAAAAAAGTCAACAAAAAGAAAGGAGGAAGGAAATTCTGTAGGGGAGGGTTAACAACCATGAATCTTTCAGGGGTTAGAGAGATAATTTCAGAAAAGAGAAAAGTGGCCATAGTACCCCTGTAACAGGAAAACATGTCAAATGTATTAAATGAATCAACGCTCTATGAAAACATGTTAATGGCCTGAAGTGTTAACATTGTTCTGAACAACACAGCACTTCAAACTTTCCTTGGAAACATGCGTCCCAATGTGCTGAAATGACTAATCGTCCACACCACATAATACGAGACACTTTTACATTCAGTGGAGCATTCATTTGCTGTAAAATTGTGGGAACATTTCTTAAGATTGTTTTATTGTTTCTCTGAGAAGAGTTTAATAGTTTTTAAATCTGCAAAACAGTATAATGCTATCTACCAGCTGACCAACAAATGCATTGTCCTCTGCGCATAGACATGTCAAATTCTTTCTCAACTTAATTTGGACTAGAGAAGATTAGTGTAGATATCAGGTAAATAATATGTGAACTGAGCATATTTTGGTCAAATAGAAGTCTGCCTGCTGTCAGCGACAGTTTGTAGGAAACCGTTTGTACGCAGCAGCTGCGTTTTTATAACCCTATTTAGGAAACTTTAAACTTAATAAAATGACTTTGAGCGAAACCACCCACGCCAAGAATCAGCAGGTTTAAAAAACCTGGATTCTATGGGTGGTGACTAAACCATTTGGACTAAAAGTGTATTAAATGAACAGGAAATATGAGCTAAATAAAGGCTGACACCAAATAACTAAACGCAAAGTTGATATCATGTTGACTGCTTACTGTCTGATCTGATATAGTACTATTTGAGTTGGAGAGTTAAATGGAAATGTCTGTTAAAATGTTAAAAAAAGCTAAAAAATACAACTAAAATATCCAAATGTCCACAATTACTACGTTTTTAGCATTGACACTCTGCCTATATAGCTTATGTTTAAGTTAAAGTTATGTTATGTTAAGGACACTTAAAAAGGCAGTTTGATGTGGAAACTAGATCTAACTAAATGAATCACCATGAGAAAACCTGAAATCCGAGCATCCCTGTTGACCTTTGGTGTAATTCCTGTTCTGTCCACTAGGAGGAGGAATTGGATTTCTTTTTCTTACTAGTCAAACCAAAGCCTTTCAATACCACCTCAGGTGCTTTGTTCCTAACCAAGGTTCAATGCAGCACGCTCTTCCTAAGAAAACACACCATGATACAAAAAAATAGCAAATAACGTGTTTAAGATTGCGAGGGATCGTCTTTTCTCTCTCAGGCCTTTCCTACATGATGGAGCAACACCGGCAGGGTTTGCGCTTTCCTTTATCCCCCTCCTGTCCCTCGGCTTTAACTCCAGCTCCACTTCCAGCTCCTGGAATGTTTGACGATGGTTCCTCCCGGGACCCGTTCCCGGCCCCTGGCTCGGCTTCCTGTGGGGGCCCGGGCCGAGGTGAATCGGACCCTTCGGGCCCTAAGACGTGCTCCTCGCCGTCCTCCGTGATGATCACGCGCTCCACAATGGGCGTGCACTCCTGTTCTTCTTGAGTGGGACCGTTTTCGGCTGTGCCATCGGCGTAACCCAGGAACAGGAGGGTGACCGGATCCTCCTCCAGCCTCTGACCCTCTATGTTGTGCATTTTTCCCGCGGTGTCTCTCACCACCATCATGACTTCGTCGGCCTTGTCTTCAACACGTAGAGAACATTTCTCTATCGTCATCTTAGCTTCCGAGGAGTCACATCCAGAGCTTTCTTTCTGAACGTACTCCTCCTTCGAAACAGCATCATGGCTACTGAAAGACAGGACTTTTTCCTCTAGAAACGGCCCAGTTTTGACCATCTTTGCCTCGTTCGGATTGACCGTCACGTCGTCCAGCAGCACCTTCATCCCAACCCCGTCGATTGCGCTCAGGATCTGACCGAGCTCCTCACTGGACGGTTGCCCCACCGACCCGCCGACTGCGTGGATGCTCTTTCTGCCGTCGTCAAAAATGGTGGCGGCATTTGGCGCCCCACCCGGTGGGGACATGGGGGCCACCGACCTCACAACAGAGACCCCCGTCTTTGGGTCCCGCTCCACTTGTACCGCCAACATTCCAAGGACTGTAATAACAAAGACAAAAAATCGGATGGATCATGGAACTTAGATAAAAAGATGGGAATTAAGGTTTTAATAATTTAGAGCCCAGACTTTTCTTTCATCTTCATCCAAAGCAGCGTTTAACTGTTTTTTTGGAGTTTGAGATTTAGGGGTCAGTCTCGGGACGGGAACCAAGCATAATGCAGCTAATGTGAGCCGGCACAGCACACGTAATAGGGGTATGTTGAGAAAAATGTGGAACGCGTTTTATTTTTTCTCCGCACAGCCGAATTGAAATATAAACCAAAGCTAAATATAACATTGTACATGTACTCAGCCCAACCGCTTCAGCCCCATCATTAAGTCATACCCCGGGGGCTGATCTTTGATGAGAAATACTAAGTAAGGACGGCCTCTTTTGCATTTGCACGGAGAAAAAAATGCAAAATATCTAAAGACTCTGTCATGTCAGGTTAAGACTTTTTTTCTTTCTTAGTGTCCATTTGTAGAAGTACTGTGGGGAACTGCCTAAGATTTTTTTTTTCCATTTAATCTTCCAAATCTTTCACTTATTGTAAAGAAATAAATGCCTATTTGATGGTTATTTATATCAAATTTAATTTTAGTGCCTTACCTGAACGTCCATCTTGCCCACTGTCTTGAAACATCATCTGTGCCATTTGTTGAATGACTTCACAGCCTCCTTTTTGACTAGAAAATAAACTATATACATTGAGAGAGAGAAAGAGAAAAATCAGTATATAAAAGAATCCTCTGTACATTTTGACTGGATTGCAGTTTGCTTTAAGTAAATGCTGTATATCAGGAAAAAGAACCATTTTTATCTATTATTGTACCACAATAGATCCTCCAACTTCATTCCTTAACACGGTGTCGATGCATGTATAATGTTTGCTCCATTACTTGATGACTTATACCTGTCAGTGTGATGATTCAAGGCTAAATGTAAGGCAATACTGCATATGATTTGATGTACTGCAATGCTTTAGGGTATGTTATTCAATGTAAAGTCACCTTTTCCAGCAGTATCTTCTGAAGCTTATCACAAACTTAGAAACATGTTCTTTTAAACTTAACTGCCCTAGCAGTGTGCGTATGGGAAAGCATGGAGGGGGATTTCCTGTCATTTGGACGGTGAAAACAGACACATTTACACATCTGTCAAAGAAAAGGTGTGCTCGGATGGTTTAAATTTGGTTTAGCTTCTTTCCTTTTTCTGACATATCTAACTGTGACCCAGTTAGAGACAACAGTTCTCTGTCCTAAAACAGACCCCTTCTCAATTTCTGAGACTTCTTTGTCCAGTAACATTGCTCCTAACTAAAAAGGGGTTTAGCTCTGTTTGTGATAATGATGTTCCTGTAATGTATAAGAAAAAATGGTCACATGCAAGTGGAGGGCCAGTGATGTTGTTTCAGTAAAAATCTGAGTTTTTTCTCAGCCGTGGCTTCAATCTGTCACTCTGATTTTGAGCTCTTGTTGCTGAGGCAAAGACTTGGTTATGGTAAATTATCATCTGCAACGAAACAATACTTGGAAGGCTGCCTTCCATAACGATGGACGCGGCGGGAAGCGAGTGACCACAGCGCAGCTGACTCCTTACCTTGCGTGGCCTTGTTAGCGCCCGCCTGTGGGAAAAAGAAAGAGACATTTTGTACGGGCCTGCCAGAAATATTTCACACTCATCATCAGAGACATGCTGAACCAATCACATCAGGAGGCGCTGGGATTATTTTTGCCCGGCAGATACTTTAGCCTCACGGAGCTAAAACCAAACAGACTGCACCCTATACTCCCAACTTATATGTGACACTTGAGCAGACACGTAAGGGGAGGTTTTAACGGAAAAATTGAGGTAAACTTTAACATTTCTTAGGGATAGGGTCAAAGATTGAGTTTGATCTGAATACGTTTGATCACCACCATAATGTGGTGAAATGGCTGCTCTGTCCCACCAGCGTGGGCTGCGGCTGAGCAGTCGATGGTCTTTTTTTTTCTTCTTGAGAGAGCTCTTTTCTGGCATCAGCTGCTTCCTTAGTCTAGCCCTCGGGCTTCTTTTGACTTCTGGTTTGATCTTTAGCAGATATAGACACAAGTGCACACACTGCCACATTCAAGATCACAACAAATGATTCAAAGCGGGGAAACTGGAAGTAGAGAATTGTACAGGCGACACGAAACGCCTTCCCTGTTTCATGTTAAATATGAGAAGCTGGTGTGTTTCTTCAGTTTGAGGTAGCTGTACTTGTCACTGCTATGCTAACATTAATCTCAACATATACTCTCTTGATACCTTCAGTGTGAAACACTCTGCTAGATATTTATAGTCACTTTAAATTATGAAAGCTTCAGAGAACAGTTGCTCCCTGTGATCTAAATGATTCTACTTCACCAGGATTATTGTATGATCACATGACGTATGATGTGCATGTACTTTTTAACCTCTTTGACATGGCCTACGGCTATAAGATCTCGCCCAAAGATGCAAAGTAAATTTGAAACTCATCATAAAATCAAATCAACCACAGACAGATCAAATGTCTGACATTTTAACTGACCCAAACTGCTGCAATATGACAGCAAGTAACCTTATGTCATGGTAGAACTTATACTAGGTGATTAATGCATAAGTTCTACACTAACTACCTTAGGTAATGATCACTTGATTTAACTTTCACTCACAAATGGTTTGATTTATCATCAAAAGCATTCAATATTATCTTTTAATCAATATACATGGGGAAGGATTTCACATTTGAATATTCACAAACCACTTAATGCTAATTTGATGGTTTTGAACCTCTGCATAGAAGCCAAGTCAGGATTTCTAGCCCAGCATTGTAATATAACAGGATATTCTGTCATTTGTTTGCGTAATGAGTTTTTTATTATGCATCTTCCTCTAAAACTGTACTGTAAAAAGAATATGCTGCCTACATTTAAACATCAAATATCAGCGTTAGTATGCCACGAACAGAAAATATGTTTTGACATAAGCAAACAGAGTGCATGACAGACCTTGCAGACAGAATGGACGGTCTGCCAGCCACCTGGCAGCCTTCCTCTGCCTTTTTGTCTCCTTCAAAGGCCGAGCCAAGCTTTTCACTGCTGCCATTTTGGATGATCAAGGCTTTTGTCCGAGAACGACAATGAAAATGTGTGCCCCATCACCCAGAAACCAGAATTGTAGTCTGCCACTAATGCAGGGCCTTAGTAAACTCTGCTGCACCTCAATAACAACATAAACAAACCGGAAAAGTCATTCTCCTTAATGTTCATTTTATTAAAGGCAGTACAAACCCCCAAGATATTTCTGGTTTTGTCTGGAAATAGATACATTTTTCCATTAAGTGCGTTTTAACCCAACAAAGGGGCATGTCTGTGACCCTGAATAACATGGATGGAGGCAAAACCGCACACAGTTTGAAATTAGATCAAACATCAAGTAATAGAAACAATTATTTTTAGATGATCTACACTTTTGTGAAATCGGGTCAGGTTGAGCTGAGAAACATGAATGGAGCTAGACAGTGTGCACTCATAATTGAGATCATCCCCTGATGGTTGCCGTCCTCCTCATATTTAGGTGCCACAAAGATAATGGGAGGTGTTGCTGCATCCTCAGGCTAAACTCCCCCAGCCGCCACTCACCCCGGCACAGAGATGTCAGTGTTAAAGGCCATTTCAGACCGCGCGAAGCAACACGGGACAGCTGGAGGGGAAATTGGAGCCAGAACCAAGTCCAAGCGACCCCACCCAGAGTATCAGAGCAAGGCCACAATCCAGCAAGCGGCTCAGTTTAACAGTCACAAGCCCCGACATGACACGAGGGTGGGACTCAGTTAGGTCACTTTTTAACATGAAGCGACAGGAAGGAAGGGAGAACAATGAAAACAAGAGCCGCTTTCCGTTTATCAGTTTTCACTACATTTAACAGAACTAAAACCTCCTCATCTATTAGGTAGATAAAGAAGGAAACCCACTTGTTGCTCCGATAGATTTTCTTCCAGAGTCAGAAGACGAAATGAAAACCATTCTTGCATCTTTTTCCTGAAAAAACATGCCTAAAAAATCCCACTTTTAGGCTGAATCTGAGCTTAATGAATGCACATGATTTCACTGCATTGAACCACTGACATGTTTACATATGGAAGCAGATTCAGGCATTTTCGGGGACTCTGCAGGTGGGCACAGCTGGTGGAAAAGTCAATTCTTTAAAAAGAAAACTCCATCATTCTATTCAGGGGAGGGTGTGTACAACCAAAGAAAGGACTGACAACAACGCTGTTCCGGTGTGATAAGTTGTAAGAGGTCCTCAGCCCTGTTTGCGTTCCTGCTGTATATCTTTGTAGATATAAACACAACTGACAACCACAAGTAACTTTCTTTTTAAGCTTCGATGTCATGTCTGTCATCTAGAACATGCAAATGACTTACCCTTAACTTGAATTAGTCCCCCCAAAAAAACACAACGAGCAGGCTACTTGGAAACAAAGCGGCTGAATTTTACTCTACTTGGTCTGAGAGCACTTCACATTTGGCTGCTGGTTCCACCCGCTTTTTGATAGAATTCTCTGGTAACTCCCTGTTTCTGTCATGGTCCCTGAAGACAAGGGCCTGTTCTGTATTAAAGCAAACTAGTGAGAAAAACAGAAAGAGAGAGAGAGTGAGAGAGGGAGAGGGGGAAGGGGGGATATTTTTAGGGGACGTGGCCAAGAGATTAAAGCAGGGAGATGCAGCTGGCCGGAGTGCGGGGATGCCAAAAGAAATAGTTCAATGAGTCAGCACATTATGCGCGAGCTGAGGCATGGCTGTGCTGTTCATGGATCTGTAAACATGGCGAGGTCAACTCAGGGGGTCGCTATGTCCGCCACGAAGACGGTCACTTGCGTTGGGTTTGATTTTCCATCGGAGCTGGAACCCGCTCAGGCCCTTAAACTGTTTACCGAGCAAGTGTTATTTCCGTGCCCGCACTTAAGGCAGTCCCGATTAAACCGAGACTTTTCTGCCACGGTGACCACGTCAGTGCCTGTGAGAAATGCTTTGATGGGAGGTGGCAGCTCGCATCGGTTCAGGGAAATGCGAGCCCGTCTGCCTGGTCCACGCTGTGGCCGAAAATGAAAAACGTTAAGGAGGCAATTCAGTTCACGGAGAGATATGTGACCCATGGTGTCAGCGAGTGGGCAGGGTCTGTTTGTGACAAAATGTCTTTGGCTGATAACTTATCTACTGTTATTCTACCGTCGCTTCTCTACCCAAACAACATACTGTATGTTCAACTTGTACTCAGAATTGTGAGTGAATATTAGATGAGTACCAAAATAAGTTTCTGTTGTAAATCTGCTGTAAAAAGGAGCTTGTGGAATGTGCCTGCCTTCTCAGATCACCCCAAGCTGTAATAGAGGTTATTTCTGAAGTCACTCATTCCATTCCTCCACTGTCCTCTCCTTTATCTTAGTCCCTACAACTACAGAGAAAAGGCATAAGAATCAACGGGCATTTATGATGATATTTGATTACAACCGATGCTTTTTTGCAATCTACCACTCCTATTAGTTCTGTCAGCATTGTATTCAGTTGTCATCTAGTGGATGATGCCACTAGGTAAGTGCTGATCTGTGGGTGTTGGTTTCCTGTAAATCTCTGTATGAAGGCTTCCGTCCTCTTTAACTCTTTCCACCCCCCCATAATGCCTCAAATGACATAGCCAAATGGAAATGACTGTAAGTTCTGAACTGCTCTGACTGCGTGCATGCTTGAGTTCTTACCAGTAAAAGAACCCTATAGAGGGAGAGAGAGAGAGAAACTATAGAGTTTCTTGTGAAACTGTCAGAAACATTCTAGGTGATACGGAAAGAGAGTTATTCAACTGTAAAGTGAGTCGATAAGTAATATTTGGTTGACCTAAAGTCCAACTCTTTCAGGATAACTAACTATCTGTGCCTTTATGAGTATGGGCAGTAGGCACAATATCAGTGGATTCATTCTTTAAATCTTAGGACGATAGCATAAAGTACAACTGTACTAAAATGTTGTTTCCATGATAAAAGTCCTCTTCTTCAACAATCTACCTCAAAGCCTCCTGGACACTAAAATAGGCTTTGGACTTACTTTTTCTGAGCAGACTCAGTGTTAGCACTCCATCATGAGGGTGTGTGATATCTGGTCGTTGTTTCCATTGAAAAACAGTAAGGTATGACTGTTTTCCCACAAACTGATGAAGTGCCACTTTCTGAGCTAATTAAACTAGCTTACCACGTTTGACTGGACTGTGGACGCCAACCCCACACAGCAGGACTGATGAAGAGCTGCCGGCAGTTTTAATAACGCCGCAGGAGACATTACAGTTAACAAACGTGTTTCTGTAAGGAAAAAGTGAGCCGGGACCACTGGTGTAGCCCAGAATGCACCACCTTGTGTGATAAGTACGGTAACTGAGGCAGAGTTTTGTGTCTCTGTAAATGCTGATTGAAGCCTGAGCTGATGAGTGCCACTGGCTTTAGGAGAGGAAGGCTAGATAATTCTGGAATAAGCTCCCTCACAAAGCATTGGAAATGTTTATTTTATGACGCATCTATTACATACATACATCATACATCTGAGCTTTCTTTAGTTGGTAAGACAGCTAGAGACTTATGTCCCTTTACTCCTCAGGTAGTTTGTACTTTAAGAATTAAACGAAGATCCAGTGCTTTTCTCAATGCAGGAGCTCATATACTTTTTGGGTGGTTCGCTTAATGAGAAATGAAGGTCAGAAGAATGGGAATCCCTTTGGTCATATAGAGGCAATTACGGTTCAGTCGTTGCTTTGAATGGCAACACAAACAATGTAGAATATCGCCTTTTTAAATCTTGAACAATAGCAGTGGTGAAATGAGGAAGAACATAGTAGACTTCGTGCATTGTGTTTGAAAGTACCATCCAAATGAAAGAGTCAGTAAGTTTGTCCGGTGGCCTGGTCCTTATCTCTCCATGTAAATGAGGAAGCGAAGTATTGACTGCTGGAGGGGCAGACTTACTCTGTGAAAACAGAGAGGAGAAGAAGTGATAAACAGACTGCGCTGTACCACACAGATATCGATGAGCTTGACGCTGGGATCACACATTTGGAGTCCTTGCCAAGAGCGGGCTCAGAAAAGCAGCGTGGGAGAGGGGTGTTGGGGTGTGCAGAGCTACTGATTGCATCCTATTCACGTTCTACTTGCTCTTTGAACTCTCCTTATGTCATCCAGGGTGCAGCATCCACTTTTATCCTGGCGGTTTGTTTGCTTTAGGTCCTGATCGTCGAGATGCCCTTTGAAAAATGTACTTTTTCCACGGAAGAGTGACGAGAGCCTTAAAGTGAATGGTCGCTAACACGTTCACAACTCTGATGCTGTCCCTCCAGTTAGATCTTCCTCAAAGATGCCGCGATACGCTTCTGGTTAAGTGGCGCTCCGTGCTTCTTAACGCTGCGACGAACCTCTACATCAAAGCTTCTGGCTGCAGAGGACTGGTTCTTTGAAGTCAGCTGGCTTAAAACCCCTTCAAGATACATCCCAAAGGGTTTACCATTGACGACTATTAGTTCTGCAGAAAAGAGGAGGATGATTTCTGCCTCAGGGCTGCCCGATAAGCTACTGCACCACCCAGCTGGAGCGCAGTGACCTTACAATCCCACTTATGTATTAGGGAGTTAAAACCTCCCACAAGGTCTTTCTTTTTTTTTCTTTTTTCTTGTTTAAACCACACATGAAGCCTCAGGCAGAGGAACTGGATAAGGATAATAGTATAATGGCACCTAAAATGGAATGAAAATACAGTTCTAGTGTAGAAGTTGTTTGATTTAGCAAGAATGTATATTCAATTTTTAGGTTGTGAGTCTGATGCTATAGCTTCTTTCCATGCCTCAAAAGGAAAACTGTGACAGTTTCCACGTGTCTCTGCGTTGGGATGTGAGTGGATACTAACACTGATGTCAATTTATTCACTGGGAACTCTGAAATGGTGAAAAGTGTGACAAACGCCGCAGTGTCCTAAGAAGTCGGAAAAAAATGAAGAGGCAAACACATTGGCTAGGCAAGCTGTTATGAATCATTTTGCACTTCAAGACTGAACACTTCATGTACAGAATAAAATGAAACTCCCTTCCTGAAGGTAGCGATGGAGAATTGGGCAACTGTTTAGATGTTTAGCTCCATCTAGAAATTTATTTATCTCTTAAAGTAAGCCTTGCACTCTCATGGTATTTTATGGTAAAAAGAGATTTACTCAGTACACATTTAGTTTGTGATACAATTTTGTAACATAGTGCATGTATGTGTAGCAGTTTGAGTTGTGAAGTTTTGTGTTGTAAAGAGAATGGTGATTGACAATTAGATTACAATTCACCCATTAGTTATAAACTTGGATTATTTTGTGTAGGTTCCTTGCGTATTATCCGGTTATTACATTAAAAAGGAAAAAAAAGGAAATTATATCAAATTACATCCACTAAGATCAGGCAATTTTAGAACCGATCGATAATAATACTGCATAAACATTTATGAATTTAATATAATTTCTGTATTTTAGTGTCAACCTTCATCGGAGGACAAAAAATACAACTCCATTCCAATGCATCATGTCATCCTCTTAACCGAGTAGACTGATTGAGACTGACATGTTGAAAAACTCAGCAGGCTCAGCCTGACATGCGGTGACTGATAGATGGTGACGGGAAATCCAAATCTCATTCATGCTAAAATCCATCTCAATTCCATTGAATATGTCTGCTGATGATAATGGATCTAAAAGACTTACTGTGTGACACCCGCACTTTGATACGCCAAATACCGAGACTCAGTCAAAAAACTCACGCATGTGGTGTGTTTTTCTGTGAAAAAGCTTTGCTACTTCGTTCATATTTGGTCGTGAAATAGTTATGTAACAGATTTGAGGAGAGACCCACCGGCAAAAAGCCAACCTGACACCTGTCCTGGCGGCTCCTGCCTTTACGGACAGTTCTCTCCGCGATTAATCAGCGTTATCGGATTAACCGCTTCCAGTCTGTCATTAGACCGCTCAACGTGCACGCTCCAGAAGCAAAGCAGTTCAGCCAGTGTCCTTCTTCATTACTGCTGTTGTGCTTCAGCTTGGGCGGGCTGGTCAACAGGATTTAGTCACATAAGAGAAAACGCTCATTACACACGGGTTGCGTGTGGTTTGTTTTTGCTTGTTAAGCTGGAGGGAGGAAGAGGACGTTCATTCATCCATTGAATGTGATACAGTAATAAAGGGGTAATGGATTCCAAACCTCTTCACCCTGATCATGTAGTTCACCATAAGAGCCACAACACATAAAAATCAGCAATTGAAAGATGATAATTAGCCTCAACAACCCAAATCGTTCCTGGGTTGCTTTAAAATCGGAATTGAAACATTAAAGAAAAGAGATTTGTTAAAGATATTGAAGTCTCATCGGCTATTTGACTGTCGCTTAACATGTCTGACTCTTCTCTGTTTTGCATCCGAGGATTTATCGGTGAGATTCCAGAAAAAAGACCAGAAAAAAGAAACAGAGGAATTTCGCAGCCTGGATCAGTTACACCACACAAGGCATCTTCTTTCCCTCTACCTCATCTTCCCCCTCGGGGGGTTTAAAGTGGCCTTTTAGCGCTGTCACTTCCTTCTCCACAGAGCTCAGCGTTCAGGTTGGGCCCGAAGTGACAGCCAGACCGTGTAAGTGCAGGCAGTGGGTGTGACCGGTCTGCACATCAGCGACACATGAGATGCGAGGCGCCGTATGCCTCCGGCTTCCGAAGAGGGAAAATTAAAATTCCAACACCCCGGACGCGTAGAACGAGTTCAGGGGTAATTGTTCACATTTTCCGCTACCATTCCAGTGCAACCAAAGCGGGCATTTGCACATGACTTCCAAATGTACCAAGTCGAGCAAGTCTTGGGAAAGAAGGAGCCGTCTGGTTTCCCACGTTATGTCCGCACGCTTAACGCATTCATCAATTCGTCCAAATCCAAAACAGGGGAGCCGAGAGATGCCATTAGTTAAACCTCCAGGCTGGAGTTAGCTGCGTCTTATTCGGGCTTATTGACCTCTCACATTACGTGATGTCAGAACACCCTGGAGCTGTTTAGCACATTGGCTCTGTGGTGTCAAACCTGCTATAATCCAAATGTTTAATTACATGTTTGACAAAGGAGGCAAAACCAACCCTAAATATTGTGCGCGTTGTGTGATCTGGCAAAAGAAGTAGATGTATTTCACATATTTGCATTACACAGTAGAAGACACTATTAACAAAATGGCTTTAGATAATCAAGGATGTTTAGTGTTAATTTTTTTTAGGTTCAGCGTTAGTAATGCTAATAACGACTGTGGAGGACTGAGATTCATTTAAAGATGCCATGCACAAAAAAAGCGTTTTTGTTCACATAGAGTGTAATTAACCAGATGCAGTATGAGGGACATGTTCTCATGGTCCATGGTCCATGGTCCAACAGCTGACCATTACCCCGATGCGTCAGGACGCCGGCGGTGTCAGAGCCCGTTTGCATCCCGGGTCTCCATCTGCCTGAAAAAAAGGGAACAGCAGAGAAACACTTGAGTTTGTTAGAACTTTTGAGCGAGCTTCTTCTAATCTGACAAAGGTTCTCGATGGGGGCAAAAAAGAGGAACGCATATCTACAGAGGGAAAAACTGGGAGTTGCAGCTTCAAATCAGCTGACGCCGAAAGAGCCGGAGGGACGGAGAGCTGAGTCAGATCAATAAAGCTCCGTGCCGGGGATGTGCCTGCAGGCCCCATCCGAGCAAGCACACAGACGTTTAAGCTTTAGACAACGCATATCCATTAGGGATGGGACGGTTTCTGAAAACCGTCCGAACCGTTCGGTTCGACTGTCTCGGTTCGGTTCGCGTGTGTTGCGTTCGGCTCATGCTGCTCCTTTTTCTCATAGGGAAGCGTGTACACTCCAGAGCAGAAGGTGGCGCTACTGCGCCCAAAGACAACCACCAGTAGTAAACAAGAAGAAGAAGCGAAGCAGCGTAGCCGATAAAAATCGGACGCGCCAACAGCAGTTTCTAGGTCTGCTGTATGGGACCACTTTGCATTTAGAGGGAAGCACGTGTTGGAATTACCACTGTTTCCTCGCTTGCAATGCAAGAATCTCACCTACTTTTAACCTAAGACTGTCACAATAATGTATCAAATGTCAGACTGCTATTTTCTTTCAGTTTTAACCTGACTATACAAGACATAAGAGATTTTCCTAACAATCAACATATACCGAACCGAACTGAAAACCGTGACCATGAAACCGTGAATCGAACCGAACCGTGGATTTTGTGAACCGTCCCACCCCTAATATCCATACATTTATCTTCAGATTTTCAGATCTCATCATCACAGACTGTGCCTCTTCGCATGAGGCCCGATATCGCCGCGACTTACTCCATCACTGGCCTAAATCACCACGGAACCTCCTGCAGACGCCGCCATTGCAGATGGCCGCTGCGTGCTTGGTTGCCTTGTTAGTCTGAGCGCTTCTGTCAACTACTCGTTAATTAGGAAGGAGGGAGACCCGTGCCTCCCGACGGGCTCAAGCTGCCCTACACAGCCGTCAGTAGTTAACCCCTCCCATCCCCCTAAAGTAACAGATCAGTGAGATCTGATGTTGCTCTCTGTTGCACACCATGTGCCGCCGAGTACATTTTTCTCTCTCCGCTTCCACTCGCTCCCCCGGTGCACACTAAGACTTTCTCAAAGCACTCTTCAGCGTGCACGCTTCCTTGCTCCAGTGCACTCCAGTTTTGCTTGAGAGAAAAGCGATGTACTTGTCTCAAAGCCATCAATCCTTCCATACTGCGCCGTGGGCTTTTGGGAGACTGTTAGACAAGAATGTGAGTCATTTTAAGGACCAAATGCATTAAAAACATTGAAATGACTGAAACTATAAATCATCAACTTTTGGTGAAACACGTGACATTTTTCTACATGTCTGGTGTATAGGGGTATAGACGGATATAGAACAATGCTGGCATAGAAATGCCTTTGTCATTCATCATTTTATTTTTCTGTGATCAAATGTGATCATTTTTCCGTTCTAAAGCAAGATTTCTGTCCAGTATCAT